CATATCATCATCATCGTCATCATGGTGGTTGTCGGCATCATAATCTTAATTGTATTCTCCGACGGGTCTTGGCGCATATATGTAGAAAAACAAATTCGCAGCATTATGCAGTGTTACGCAGAGAGTATCTCGCAATATTGTATGTAAATACATACAATACGAGATTTACATGCGATAACACTGTAGTTTCGTATCATCCATATCATTCTCCTCAAATTACATATATCGCTCATTGCTACAACAATGACATAACTCAAAAATTGTCATTTTTTAATTGTTTGCAAAAGAAGGGTAAAAATTCAATACATTGAATGAAGCGCTAATATATGTGTGTGTGTGCGTGTGTGTGCGTGCGTGCGTGCGTGCGCGCGTGTGCGTGTGCGTGTGTTCCTCTACAATCAGTTATTGCATCAAAGTCGCATTTAAAAGTATAATATTATATTATAAATTTTAATGATTTAAATTAAAATATTCAAACTTCTTTTTTGGAAAAGTTTGTTTTCTGAGTTATGTCATTATTGTTGTAGCAAATGAGCGACATATATTTTTTCTAACATTCCAACATCGGCGTGTGGCGAAAAAATCTGTTGAGATTGTTTGATACGCTTTATGATACGCACGCGGTGTGGCGGTGCTTAAGAATAAAGGAACACGTGGAAACAGCTCTAGCGATTATGTCGACAATAACGCGAGAGATTCTCCACACAATCAAGAATAATACGAATGCTTGGACCTGAATTTTCACGCGAATACAGTGTATTCTATTTTGTGGCAAATATAAGACATGTTGAAATCTTCAACTATATATATATATATATATATATATATATTTTACAAATGTTTCACCAAAAAGTACAGTTTTACGTTTAAAAAAGTGTAACATATTTTTAATTATACAATATACTAAACATTTCGCGCGCAATGCGTATGTATGTGTGTATGTATATCACACACACGAATCTCGTCGATATCTAATACCACAGGTCGGTAAATTTCCCGATGTCGGTACCGTTTACCTTGTGTCAATTTTTGACAGAAAATTGTGAAAATGATCGATCGGTAGACCGTGGTGGATTCATGCATGCATGGATTGGATTGGATCCGTGGATTCATCGCGTACTCAGTCCCAGTCGGTCAGTATTTTAGTATTTTAGTAAGTATAGAGCTAGATGAGAGCTAGGCTGTGAACTTGTGCTTGTGGAGTGTGGAGTGTGGAGTGTGGCAGTGTGGTGTGGCTGCGTGGCTGCGGTAGGTAGGCTGCGACTAACCGGAGTAACCGGGCAGCCGGGCTTAGTAGCTTACCGGGCCGGCGTCACGTCACGAAGCGTCATCCGTTATCGTCCTCGTCGCCTTCGATCACGTATACAGTTGCCACGTATATGCTCGTACTGTAGACGTAGACTCATATAGCTGCCACTGCTCTGCCAGTAGCCACTGTAGCCTGTAGCTACGATCATGTCATCGAGCAATGCCGAGCGGAGTGTCGGACCGCCTCCGAATAAGAAGATGATGGTACGTGTGTCGCTTTCTCTACCTCGTGCAATGCGTGAAATTTAAGTAATGAATAATGAGTATGAATAACAATATGTAAATAATGAAACAATGTAAATTTTACTTCGACCATGCGACGTATGTACATATGTATATTGTATATTGTACGTGCCATGGGGCCCCTATTCGCTTTAGCGCAGTTTAGCTCGGCATCAGCTGCGCGCATTTCGCGCGCGCGTATCGCTCCGTTTTCTTGAGAAATAGCTAAATAGGAATAAGAAAGAAAATAATCCAAATATAAGAAAAAGAATCGGAATAAAAATGGTCCAAGTCTAACGGTGAATATGCGATCCTTCGTGTACGCAACATTAACGTTTTAGCCCGAGTTTTATCTATTGGGAGTTCGAAACTCCCTCCCACCCCCCCAAAGTTCTTATTAAAGCGCTTTTGGAAATTATTGAATATGAAAATTTGAAATGTTAAAAATTTGTTTAGATCTGCGCGAACGTATCGGAGCAAGCGCATCACGTATCCAGAGCCAAACGGGGACAAGCGATCGGCAGTATTCGGGGCTTTCGAGGTTGCACGGTATGGCTAACCGGTCTCTCCGGTGCCGGCAAGACCTCTATCTCGTTCCAGGTGGAAGCTGTCTTGGTGAACCACGGTATTCCTGCCTACGGTCTAGACGGCGACAATCTCAGGAGCGGTCTAAACCGCAATCTGACTTTCAGCAAACAAGACAGGAAAGAGAACATTAGAAGAGTAGCCGAAGTAGCGAAACTCTTCGCCGACAGCGGACAAATTTGTCTCTGCAGCTTTGTGTCACCTTTCGAAGAGGATAGACAAGTGGCGAGGCAGATTCATAGAGAGGCTGACCTGCCCTTCTTCGAGGTGTTCGTAGATACGCCCTTGCAAATTTGCGAGGCTCGCGACACTAAGGGCCTTTACAAGAAAGCGCGGCAGGGTACCATTAAAGGTTTCACCGGTATCGATCAAATGTACGAGAGTCCCACGAAACCTGACTTAATTGTCAAGACCGAGAATTGTACCCCGGAAGAGTCTGCCTCGACTGTAATTGACCTTTTAGAGAAGCACCGCATCATTCCGCAGCTTGCTGCTAAACCGTCAGATCTGATCAGGGAGCTCTTTGTACCAGAGTCCAGGCTAGCTTTCGCGAAAATGGAAGCGGAAACCCTGCGGTGCGTGGAGATCGATGAACTCGACGTGCAGTGGCTGCAAATTCTGGCGGAAGGATGGGCGTCTCCACTAACAGGCTTTATGAGAGAACATCAATATCTTCAGGTATGCTTTCCGAAGCGATCTGAAGCGTGCGTGCATCGCGCGCACGGTATGCGGCATGCGCCGTCTGACACGAATTGAGACACGACACAGAGAGAGAGAGAGAGAGAGTGAGAGAGACGCGTTGACCTACGCGTCAACGTAATCGTCAAATCGCGTCATATTGTCATTTGTCTTCTCTTTAAGGCCCAACACTTAAGGTGTTTGCTCCAAGATGGCAAAGAAGCGAACCAATCGGTGCCAATTGTCCTCGCGATAAGCACGAGTGATAAGAGCCGCTTGGAAAATTCCCTCGCTGTAACCTTGAGGCACAAGCAGAAGGCCTTGGCAATCCTACGAAAACCGGAATTTTATTTCCATCGAAAAGAGGAGCGTTGCAGTTGGCAGTTTGGCACCAACAACTTGGGTCATCCCTACGTCAGGATGATTTACGACTCCGGAGACTGGTTGATGGGTGGCGACCTCGAGGTATTGGAAAGGATCAGATGGCACGACGGGCTCGACAAGTACAGGCTCACGCCAAACGAGATCCGTGCCAGATGCCGGAAAATGAAGGCTGATGCCGTATTCGCATTTCAGCTTAGAAATCCCATTCACAATGGACACGCGCTGCTCATGCAGGTATCTCACTCGTTCAAAGCGAACGGATCGTTTTCGTATCATATTTTTCATTCGATGAAAGAAAGGCCTTGGAAAGAAAGCTTACATTGCCACGCGTTATGTACATACGATAAATCATCCATCTCGCCTTATATATATCGAGATAACCGAACGTATCATACCTTGCTGTTTTTAACTCGGAAAGGACACAAAAAGACGATTGTTGGAGGAGCGTGGTTTCAAAAATCCCGTGCTGCTGCTACATCCGCTGGGTGGCTGGACGAAGGAAGACGATGTGTCCCTGTACACCAGGATCCTTCAGCACAAGGCCGTTTTGGACGAAGGTGTGCTGGATACTACGTCCACGTTACTCGCCATCTTCCCCAGCCCAATGATGTACGCTGGACCGATTGAGGTTGAGAAAAAATTCTAGCCAGCTTTACGAGCCTTAGCCCGGTCCGTTGTACCTTAACTTTTAGCTACTTTGCCAACTTGTGTGTAACTCTTGTACATACCAATGTCTCCGACAAGTAGCGCCACACATTTCTTACGCGTTCATATATTACACATCCAACACTTTACTCTACTCTCAAATAACATAAATGAAATAAAACACGCGTATATTTTTATACAGGTGCAATGGCACGCGAAAGCCAGGATGAATGCCGGCGCTAATTTTTACATCGTAGGTAGGGATCCCGCGGGTATGCCACATCCTAACAAAGACGCCACGCCTGACGGCAATCTGTATGATCCTACTCATGGCGCCAGGGTACTCTCCATGGCCCGAGGTCTTGATAATCTCGAGATTATTCCCTTCAAAGTGGCCGCTTATGACACGCGGAACGGTAAAATGGCGTTCTTCGAACCCGAGCGGAAGCAAGACTTTGAGTTCATTTCGGGGACAAAGATGCGAGGTGAGTCCTTGATGCGTACTATACCTTGATGTTCTATGATATACCCAAGTTTTAACATTCCACAAGATGCATATGTATGTACGAATAACACAAATAGAGCGAATAATAATAAAGAGTGAGAATACGAAGAGCGAGATTAAAACAAAACGCGGGCACATGTGAAAAATAAAATAATATGAAAACAAGAATGAGCACACGTAATGATTGATGGTAAAAAAGAGCGAAGGTAAAATGAAGAAACGTACAATATAAATTTTTCGCCTGATTTGATCCCTTTATCTTTGTTTCGTAAGATTGACATTGTGGAATTTTCACAACGTACCAACAAATTATCTCACGTATTACGTTTTTATTGTGACTTTTTTTCTCAAGACGTTTAAAAAACTTGGAAAATTTCATAATACTGAAACTTTCGAAATTCGGAAATTTGTACGTAGATAGTCGCCTAATACCATTAAATATTTTGTACTTGCAGGATTAGCAAAGACAGGCCAGAATCCCCCGGATGGATTTATGGCACCAAAAGCATGGCAAGTACTCGTGCAATACTACCAAAGTCTAGACAAGAATTAAATTTCAACTCGCTAATGAGTAATAAAGGTTTTATCTTTGAACGATTTCAAGTGCATTTTAACGAATCTCAATTTAAGATTTGATTACCGACACAGTTAAAATTGTATACATTTAAAAAATAACAAGAGAGAGAGAGAGAAATGGTATCTTTTTTTTCCTTTCTCCTCCATCTCCAAAACTTTGATAAATTTGAAAAATCGATTAAACCTTGTTAAAGCTGAATCGGATAGAGATAGCAATACATTTTATTCATCCGGTTCAAGTTTATCAGAAACATCATTGATAATATTATCTTGATTTAAAAACTGATATGAGACTATTCATGTGTTGAAGAACAAACGAATCTGAGCTTGCACTATTCTCTACTAGTGCATGTTAGAGGTTGCTATACGTCAAGTCGTTTAATGACAAAAACGTGATATGAACATCGCGACCGATAAAATGCTTAACGTTTCAACATCATCAAGTCCTCGGTTCGAAGACTGGTTGGACGAGTATCTCCATCATCCTTTCCTGGCCTGAGCTAACCTACCTACGCATTTCTCTGAAAGTAGAGCATACTACGTGAACTTGGACTATTTGTAAACAATAATCTAATCTGGTTCTACCCCTACCTCTCTTTATTCCTATCTCCGCCTCCGATATGTCGCAAACTAATCCTTCGTGTCTCAGCACGTGTCCTACTATCCTATCTCTCTTACTCATCATGTGCCTATACATATGCATTTAGCGAAATGTATATTGAACATTTTATCAGCTAAAGTATTTATATATTGCTTTTGCACTTGGATATCTTCATGTATAGCAATCTTTATAACGTTGGAATAGAATCGGTAGAAATTCGTCTTACTCTATCGTGATCGATGGACCGATCAAACGGAAAAGAAAGAAATAAAGAATTTTATCTCTCCTCAAGACGAGAGGAAAGGAACATTCCGATTTTATTGGGATAAAAAAAATCTTTAATCTTGGTGTTTGCATATAGCTTGTATATAATGATCAATAGAGAAAGATAATTTTCTCCTCATTTACTAGAACATAAAAGAAATTCGACAAAATATGAAATTAATCTACACTGTATCTCTCTATTGTATTTCATATATATTTCGTTTCGAGAAAATGTAAACGGAATGTATGCTATGCTCAGTTATATTTTTTGCTCAATGAGATGTATTTTCATTCAAAATGTCAAGTTTCGCGTGTCGAACGAGTGAAAGAGTGATAAGGCCTTCTTTTTAGCTCAACTTGTTTTGCACGGTTCATCTTTCCTCTTTTCCGTTTCACGTTGGAGAGCTAACAATAAAAAGAACAGACCCCCATAATCTGAGTGTTGTAAACTGATCATTTATATTAACATAAAATTTATTTTAGCTATACAGTTGATTACCTATGTTGATGCCTGCCTAATTTTTAAAACAGTTTTCGACGTATAAGTGCTTCTTATATTAATTTTATTAATATGTATATATTATAATCACCTTTCTGGAAATATACATCCCCAACACTGTATACTTGGCTTCCCATTTTTCCTTTTAATTTTATACTTGCAAATATGTCAAAAATGCAGATTTTCATAATAAAATTAGATACATCGATTTTCATGCGGTTGTTTTATTTAGGAATCTTTAACTTTTATTTGGAAAAAAAAAGTGAAAGAATATTTCAATAACGATCCGCGACATTGAAAAAACACGCATTTTCTTTCATATTATATTATATCTTATCTAAGACTTAACATGTATAAACTGAGCTCGTCACCTTATTATCACTTGTAAAACACAAGCATTAGCAAAGTATATGATAAGTAACGTACTAAAAAGCATAGTCTTGCATGTTTTTTTCTTTTTTTTTTTTTTTTTTTTAAAGCTGTGTTATGTTACACTTTCTGCATTTAAAGTGAATGAGTAATATATCTAGTCTAGAAAGGTAAATTCGAGATTTGGAGGAAAGGGAAAGAGTACAAGAACACGTAGTGAAAATATTTAAGTCCTATTACTAGGACTTATTCTCTCTAGTTGCATTTCCTACACTTGAAATAAGTTAATAGGTAAATACATTCAAGGTTTGAAATAAAGGAAAAAATGCAGCTAAAAGAAATAGAATCATATTCTGTGATTTCAATGGATAAAATACAACAAGCTTCCAATAAGATACAACTGTTTTAATTTTACCTTTTTTTTTTACTCTTTGCACTCAAAGTATTGAAAGGAGAAGAAGATGACGGAAAATAATAATAATAATAATAGTTTTTCGCTCTAAAAGAATACAAGAAAAAGGTGCAGAAAATGCAAATAGAGAATAGACAAATGGTTCCGTATGACAACAAGCGTGCGATACAATCTTGAAAAAGATATAGCGATACAGAATGATTCTTTTAATGCACAACACATATACGCACACGCACGTCACACTCTTTTTCACTGATTTATACAAGATAGTTTACATAGTGTATCGCGCTATTTTACAAAACAAGCGCTTTCGTATAAGTCTTCGTTTCTTTTCCACACATCTTACGCGTAATCTTGCACCTTTTCTTTCAATGAGAGACTCCGTACGTATCAATTTTTAAATGTCATACGTATCTCTTCTTGCAACTGTTTCACCAAGTTTTTTTTACACAAGTTCTTCTGGAAATAAATGCTTTAGAGAATTTTTATTTCTTTTTATTTGAAAATTTTCGATTCCTCTAGTTTCTTCTCTATCCGGAATCTTTCTCTTTCCTTCTTTGCATTCTGTAATCTCCAATATTTGATATTTTCACAATTTTATGTGTAATTTTTTCAGGACTTTCTTTCAAAACAGGATTTCGTCAATCATCTCTGACAATTTCTCTCTCCTTGTTGTAAATTGTAAAATATTCCGTTACTATTTTCTTTATTGTAAGAGAGGTTTAAAAAAGAAAAGATGTACATTTTATAGAGTATCCTGCATTAGAATTTAATGATTTCAGAGGATATAACGGTTTTTTTTTTTTGTAATTTCCTATAAATTAGGATCATCCTAGGACTAGAAAATGTTCTAGTTGGAAATAAAAAATTTGAAAACCTACGCGAAATCTCAGAAACTCTAGAATTTAAGAAATGTCAATTATGAAATCGCATTGTATAGGATTTCTTGAATTTTGCGGGATTTCCCCATGAGATGGGACGGTTAAAAATGCAGACTATGAGAAATCAAATACGACAAGTCCCACCTTTAATGCGGTGACATTATTTACACATGGATGGTCCACGTAACAGCCAATCTTACCGCACATCAATCAAAGAGATTAAGCAGAATCCAAAGACTTAAAGATTCAATCATCTTTTACGAGTACGGGTTCAATGTATAGGAAACTCTGCCGAGAGACAAATCAAATCTAATTATTATACATGATTGACGCGGTCGCGAGATTTACTTCAGTGGTTGCGTCGGACAGCTCGGGCAGGGACAGCATCACTGGTATCACTTGAATCTCCCCCGAGGAATTATTGCAACCTTGCAGATGCATCACAGCAGTGCCAGATTGTAGAATGTCACTCGTCATTATCTCGTCCGTCATGATCTCTACGCTAGGCTCTATATTATCAGCCGTAACCTCCTCCGTGTACACCGTGGAATCCTCCATGTTCATAATTACCTCGGTAGCTTCCGATGCTTCTCTCGAAGTTTCTTCATACTCCTGGAAGAAGAACAAGTTCGCGCAAAGTTTGCGAGAGAACGTGAAAGATGAATTCAGAAATTCATCTGCCGATTATAGTAGCTATTTAGTTGGCCGATTTTACGCTGGTTTTGGAACAATCTTCTCGTCTCGATGGTAGAATTGAGAAATGTCGAGAGACAACGTTATATTAATCTACATCTATGAGATCTCTTACCTGCTCGTACACCGCTTGTTCGTATTCCTCTTGACCTTCAAACTTGACAATCTGCTCCCGTTCGAATTTGACCATCTGTTCCTCCGAAAATTTCTGATCGTATTGTCCTTCCTGCTGCTCCTCGTATTGCTCCTTCGCCGAATCCTTGAGCGAGCCCGGTTCCTGCTCAGATCCGGAGGAATCGTCGGCGGCGCGTACTTTCGGTTTGACATTTCTTCCGGGTACGATACGCTTGAAGCCTGAACCACCGAGGCTCTCGTGACGACGTTCATGCTTGTTTTTGTCACCGAGATATTTGAAGCGTTGCCGGCAAACGCTGCACGAATATGGGCGTTCATTGGTATGCGTGCGTTCGTGACAAACGAGGGCACTCACTTGCTTGCATCGCCAAGGACAGTACCTGGAAAATGTCGAATAAACGATAAATAGATGGTGATGTAATGAATAAACAAAAAGAACAACAGAGAGTATGGATACCATTTCCAACTTTTCCATTTCGGTACGCAAGTGACTGCGATGTTTCAAACCGTTATCAGACCATACTCGATAACAATGCAGATTGGACAGTTTTCTAGTTAAATATGTAATAGAGTATTTAGAATGTATTTGAATAATTTTTACAAAAGCTTTGCGTCGTCTTAAGATGTGCAGGTGATGTTCTCGCGCGAAAATATATATATATTTTTCAATTATATAAATTTAAAATTCTCATGTGTGTCAATTTATTACACACACACACACACACACACACACACACACCTCAATATCTTAGAGAAATCTTTAATGGTTTACAAAGAAGCAACGACAGATTGCTTTAATTTGTCATGTGAATAATCCAAGAAGAATAAAATAATCTCGCATGTAAAAGTTCTTGTTCAAATTAAAAGAATCAATTTTTTCTGCTGCAGACATGCAATAATAATAAGTATACCTACATATAATGAAAGACGATGCGTTTATACATTAATTCTATTAATTTTAAATCAGTAAATTTTTATCTCAACTTTTAAAATCAAAGTTTATTATTGAATAAATGCGATTATAAAATCTCAAATAAACTAATAAAATTTATTAGCTGGGTGCGATAACGTGACAACGGGATTTCCTAATCCCATAATTCAGGGTAAGGATTAATTTGTGAAAAATTGACCTTTACTAAAAACTATTAATTCATTTACCTGCACTGCAAAGGTCTCTCGTCACTGTGTCGGTTTTGATGATGCTTGATCAGTTGGATCTTTGTCTTCAGGTTGAAACCGCAGACCTCGCAGGTATACGGCCTTTCCTCAGAATGAGAAATCATGTGAGTCTTTAGCCTTAATTGGTTCACGAATCGTTTCGGACAATGAGGGCATGCCAAAGTACCCTCGAGACGATTGTGCACGACCATCATGTGATGACGTAAACGTACTTCAGATGTGAAAATATCCTCGCAGTCGGTGCACTTCAACGGGTCCTTCTCCATGTGCGTATTTTTAATATGTGTGCGAAGAATTAGTTCCGTCTTGAAGGTCTTATTGCAGTGATAGCAGGAAACCCGTTTTTTTTCAGGCAGACCAGACGCGTCGCGGATAATACCTGCAAAAGGGATTATCATTATTGTTGCTGCAAATGTGTGTGTCTGTGTGTGTGTGTCGTCTGAATGGAAGTACGAAACAAAAACATAACAACGTACGTTGTACAAATCTAGAAATTATTTTTCCATTATCGAAAATTCCATTTACACACAAAAGAATAAAAAATTGTTTAATCATCTTTTATTCGCACATGTACTGTCTATTTGATAAATAAACAAATATAAATTTCTCGCAAATATTTTACTTTAATTTTAGATTCCAACATCTAATCTTCTCTCATAAAGTACTCATAAATATTATTCATAAAGACTAAACGTGACATATTTCTTTCCCTTTATGTTCAATGTAGAATACAATTTTGTTTCCGGATTAAGGAGGGATAGGAATTGAAAATACGTCGGCATCAAACGGCTTGCACACGTTACCTGGCATCGACTCGTTATGAATGTGCGACATGTGCCACTCGAGCGATCTCGTCGAAATCATCGACCTGTTACAAATGTGACACGTATACTGCCTCCCATCTTTGTGCACTCTGTTCCTATGAATCACCAAAGTCGAATGATTCGGAAACTTTTCGCCACATACTTGGCAGGAACACTCTTTCAAGCCTCTACTACCAGTTTTTTCGTGCACTCTCATATGCAGCCTCAAACCGTCTCTCCGATTAAATCCAACGCCGCAGGTGTCACAACGATACTGCCTTTGATCTTCGTGAATTCTCACATGTTGCTTCAAGGTCGAGCTATTTTTGAACATTTTGTCGCAATGTGGACACTGGATACTGTAAGCTTTATGTGTGTGCATGTGCTTGGACAAACTGTAAAACGGCACCAATTTGCTGCAAACTTGACATTCCCTTTTATTTCCAACCGGTTGATGTTTTCTGATTCTATGATGTCTCAAGCTCGCAGGATTCTTAAAATCCGCACCGCAATCCTCACAAAGGTACGCTCTCAAAGTTGTATGAACAGATTTTAGGTGAAAGCTCAGTTTTTGTTTAAAAGCAAATCTTTTCGGACACTTTGGACACGGATAAATCTTTTCCAAACTCGTATGTTGCGTCTTCAGGTGCTGGTCCAGAGTTCCTTGGTGTTTGAATCTCTCGCCACAAATCTCGCAAAGTTGACCATAAAGAGCGTCAACGTGTTTCTGCTCGTGTTGACGTTTTTTCCCTCTGGAATCCAGAATTATGTCGCAAAATTTGCAAATTAATTTCCTCACACATATCACGTTATGATTTCTTTTCGCTTTCTGGGTTTGAAATTCTTCCCCACAGTCGTCGCAGCAATGAAGGATACGGTAGTCGTGGGACTTGAGATGTTCCTCGAGAACATCGCGGTTGGAGAAGGTTTCGGAACAATAATCACATTCTAAATAGCGCTCTTCGGAAAGCGGGTCGACGGGAGGTTGAGTGTCGATAAGGTCTGGGAGCAATTTAGAGGACGATTTTAAAGTAGTGGAGAATCGATCTTCATAGAGAGAGATTATGTCTTCGTCCTTGAGGCGAGTAAGAACGATTTTACGCTGCTTCAAGTACTCTTGGAATTCCTGGAATGAGGAAAAAGACAACATGAGAAAGAAAGTAGGAAAACAATAAAGAAAGGAAATATATATAGATTATAAATATGAATAAAGACGTGTTCATACAGTTTAGTAATACTGATGAGCCAGTGATTCAAACGGCGACTCTTACGCGATTGACGATAGATAGACGAGATAAATCAGAAGAACGTAAGGTGAAGCACTAATTATGTCCAACAACACGTACCTGCAGATTCTTTTCCTTTTCCCCCAAGACTTTTGCCAATTTCTCCAAGTTCCCTTCGCTATACGACTCGTTCAGTTCCTTCTGTAAACTTTCCTTTTTCCGTTTCGTCTCTTCCCACTTTAATTTCAATCTTGATAACTTTGAAAGATATTCCTCTGTATATTCATGGACCTTTTCTTGACTTTCGTCAATATTTTCCATCTTATTCCAAAACTCTTTCTCTTCTTTATCTCCATCCCCATCTCCATTCCCCTCTTCTTTCTCCTCCTCCTCCTCCTCGTCCTCCTCGTCCTCCTCCTCCTCTTCCTCCTCCTGCTGCTGCTCCTCCTGCTCCTGCTCCTGCTCCTCCTCCTCCTCCTTATCCTCCTCCTCCTCCTCCTCTTGCTCTTGCTCCCGCTCCTCCTTCACTCCAACTTCCACTTTTGTCAAAAGTGTCATTTCTTCTGCCTTTTCAAAATTTGACTTGGAGGAAATTTCTTCCTGCTGTACTTCTTTTTGCGTTTCGTTCACGGTGAACGTCACTACCGACTGACCTCCAAGAACCTTTTCTCGTTTCTTTTTATATTCTTCGATTTGTTCTTCAATTATTTGCTCGCGGCCGTCAGGACGTCGAGATGAGAAATCTTTCGATGTCAACGTTTCATAACGTTTGAGGAGACGTTCGACAGGCTTAAAATCAGTGGAGATTACCGCGCGCTTTGATTCCATGGGTTTGTCCACTTTCTTGACCTGAAACAAGTTGTATAGGTGCGACATGTAATTATAATGTATATTTTATTTAAAAACACAGGAAGAAAATATCAAGAGACTTTTCAAATACATATGAATGCAATGATTAAAAAAATAAGAAAAGAAAAATGAGAGAGAGAGAGAGAGAGAGAGAGAGAGAGAGGATATAAAAAAGTAAAATAAAGACTAAACATGAAACAAAAACGGAGACATGAATAATGCGGTATAAATTTAAGTATAAGAAATGGTTTTTATTAAATTATAAAATAATAACTAAATAATTGGAAAAAATATTAAAAATTATTCAATTTTTGTTAATTTCGTAGCGATATAATAAAACTAATAATCGACAAGAGATTGTAAACGAGATAAAATATAAATTACAACACACGTCGCGTGAAATAAAGGAGTTTGTGTAAAAAGGAAAGAAAAAAAAACGAAGCAATAATTTTTTAGATAACAAAATAAAATTAAAATGTCAAAAAATCACAAAGAAAGCAAAAACCTACGGTAAAGTTTACTAAATTTTAATTTACTCAATTCGATGCATGTTTCAACCATTTTCTCTTTATTAAAATCATTCGCTCACACTCACCTTCACTAGAAGAAACTCGTTCGGTTTGGAGCCCTTTACAGTTACGTACATAATTCCATCCTCTTCTAGAGGACTATTCACATTCGAGAGACTGTTTGTGTCTAACTTTTGCACTTTGCGCTCTTCGATACTTTGTACCTCGTCCTCCTCCTCCTCCCCACCATTCTTCGTCGTTACCGTTGGCATTATTAATTTTCTCTTCAAGATATTTGGCTTGCTTATTCCATCTCTTTGATTTTCTCCGTCACCTTCCAAAGTCTGGGAAGCTCCAGATTTCACAGAAACTCCCTCTTCACTTCTTTCCAACCTCACGTAAGACTTTGCTGCCATATCGTACTTATAGACGGTTGTTGGGGATCTTGGAGATTTTTTCTCTTCTTCTTCTTCTTCATCTTCCAGGAGTGCAGGGTCTTCAGGATCAAATTCCTCGATAGATTCTTCATCCTCTCCCTCTGCCACTTCCTCAAATATCCCTCCGCCTATCTGTACCTCTTCCTCCTCCTCCTCCTCCTTTTCGTCATTGTCTTCCTTCTCCTTTCCAGATTTTACCTTCGATTCGTCCTTCAACGAAAAGATGGCACAAATTTTTGGAACAGAGTCATCTGCTTGATTTCCGGGAGTTGTTTGGTTTTCTTGCTTCGATGACAATGAAGATAGGTTTTGTTGGATTGTAGAGGATAATTGATATTCCTGCTTTGTTTCTGGAGGAAAAGAATTTTCCTTATTTCTGCAATATGTTATCATTTTTATCTTCTTTCCTTTCTCTAAATAAGTGTTACAATTTACTAGTACATTCTAAAAATAAGATTTTTTGTCATAAAAAAATTAGAATTCTATGATACACAAAAAATGATATATATCGCGAGGACTCTCAGTGATCGAGCTTTCTTTACGTTGCAGACTCTTTGGCCACGTTTCAAAGTTCCGAGTTGTTTGTTTCCTAATGATACACAAGCATATCTAGGCAATAGATTTTCAGTTATAAGCATTGAAAAACAAAAAGGATCTGCCCTGAAACCTTTGAACTTTAGAGCTATTGATGGGTAACAAATTCTTCCAAACAATTCAAGCAGACATTATTTACAAGCAAAATTTTCATAAAAATTTTCGCTCGTGCAAAATCTAACGATGAAAATGTTAAAAATCATAAGATAAATGTTCTATTAAACTAGTTATAGAACAATCCATACGTATAACGTACACTCGTTTATTACAAATTGAAATACGGTGAGAAAAAACATGAAAAATGCAAAGAATACCTATATAAGATGATTGCATCTCCTCTTTTATTGTCGAAGACTCGTCGATCAACGTTACTTTCTTCGTGGCATTATCAGTCATGAGATTGACATGGATAGATTTCAATTTTATCTCAGCTTTTTTTATCTGCATGAAAAATTTATAACTCATTCTAAGATCGCAGATACAGTCCATGCACATCTGTGTCGAGAGACTATCATAAGGATTCACTTCGAGATGCTTGATTTGCTGACTCAATCGCAATTTAATGCCCTTTTCACTAAAGATGTCCACCTACAACATTAAATTGATAACCATTATATAAATAGAACCGTACTAATAATCATCGATGATAAACAATGGTAAACATGGTAAACGTTAAGGTTAACAGATTCAATTAAATAAAATTTATGACATAATAAGTAGAATTTAGGGCCGGTTGTTCCAACCTGTTGGTAAACCAACTAATATAGTTAAATCATTATTTTTATATGTGCGTGTGCGTGTGTCTTTGTTATCCTTTACATCAGACAAAGATTTACATCAGACATATGATAGGTTGGAACACGTGGCTCTTAATGTTTTAAAATTTTGCTTCCCTAAAACAATTTAATCCATCTATTGTAATATATGTTGCCTTTTAAATTTTTTAATTTAATCATTTAGTTACCTGCTTTACCTGCTTATTCGTACTACATTTACTAATTTATCCATTTTAACGTTTATTTATTTTTCCTCTTTAATCTTAACGTAAATTCAAACTACAAGAGACCTCGTTTGATTTAAAACAAAGAATATAAAGAATATAAAAAAATGTACCAAGGGCAGTTTTAGGCCAGCGCAGGTGCGGCAGTATTTTCTCAGTTCTTGCCGCGTTCTCTCGAGAACGGATATATCGTTCTGCTGTAATTTACTGTTACTTAAAGAAGAGATTCTCGTCAACTCGTTCAAACTTTCAGTGTCCTGTAGACGAACGCGCGGCGCAATCTTCTTCAGTTCGTTGATGTCTCTAATCTGACCCCCGACAGATCCTGTCTTGGATATCTTGCAGATAGCGCCACCATTACCATTGTTGGCATGTTGAGGTTTCGATTCACTGTAATTGTGATCGCGTTTATTGATTTCGGGATTCGGCATCTTTTCCCTTTTCTTCTTCTTCAGCCTTTATTTTTTACTTTTTTGCTTAAGATATGTATCTTCATTTATATCTGGAACATTTTCAATCGTGATATGTAAAAAATAAATATAAATTGTAATAAATATAAGAAAAATATCTTATACACTTGACAAAACTTTCATGGCAAAATAAAATACCTTAAAGTATCCCGTTGAAGAATCTAGTGCCAATTACAGTGTTGCTATTCCATTCTGTAGTTTTTGCTATAATTGCCTTCTTTTTTTTATACACATATTCTAACTTTCGAAACAATCAAATCTCAATAGAATCATTACTGCCACAATAAATGTTTCACCTCAAGAATAGCTTTGAATAGCATTGGTTTTATATTAAAAATCTATATGCTTTTATGTCGAGCACTGTAACGTATTTAGAAACCAAGAGACTAAATGAAGTTTGTGTTTCCCTAGAAATTTTGATCACAAATCCCAAGGGTGTCTCTTCCTCGATCAATCGCGGTTGAGATATATATATATCTCTCTCTCTCTCTCTCTCTCTCTCTCTCTCTCTCTCTCTCTCTCTCTCTCTC